TGTATTAGATCTCAACTACGTAAACATCACAATATTTGCAACAAAAAGCCCCTCAAGTCACTTGATGTGTCTTCCAAACTGTATCACCATCTGTGGGGAGAAGTCAATATTTGAAACTAGTTCAGTTCCTACTCTTCAAACAGCACAGGGTAAAAGCTTTACATTGATAAGCTCATGTACTTTTGCATCACACCCAAAAAACCAGTCAGAGGTGTCACAAACTCCTACAAAAAATGCTTCTGTGGTTATATGACACTGAAAGCTTTGGGTAAAGTCATCCATGTCAACAAATGTAAAGAAATGCATGCAGAGACTGGAGAAAATTTGACTGGAAATACAATAGCAGCTGAAATTTCCCTTGGCTCTCACCATTAGCAGATCTTTCTACACTTGTCAGCTTTTACTTTCAGCATCCTGGAAAAGCACTTTCTGTTCACAGCAAACTGTCACCTCACAATATACCCATTTTCTACATCATTTTGAACCTACTGAACAGGAGGCACTTGTTGACCTACACTTTCCTTCATTGTGAGCAAAGATTTATCCTCTCAAGCAGTTAAACCACGACAAGACCTTCACTTCTACCTTTGGTAAGGAAACACTTCAACTATTTTTGAGAGAAACACAGTGTCACCTAAACCTAACCCATTTACACAATTTCCACATCCTTCACAGAGCTGATTTGTGAGCAGGATTTTCCTCTGAAGAAGCCAGAATGAGGATGAGTCAATGTATTTTCCAAGAAGCAGCACAGAAGGTACCAATCAGTGCAGTGACACTACTTGAAGGGAGATCCCCCCATCTCCTGTCTCTAGGAAATACTAGAAACAAGGTAGAGAAATACCAGAGACACACAAAATATGCCAACTATCACACTGCTTTAGCCTCATTTATCTGATCTCCAGAGGCATCAACACCCCTCAGCATTTTGATCCTATTTCAAAATCCCCTGACTATCAATTTACACCAAATGAAATGTCTTTCCTGCATTTAAACCTGTCCTCCTGCACTGATTTTAACTAAATTACCCTTCAAAAGAGAAAGCTGCTGCTTGGAAACTAGAAATAGACATCAAAACACACACATGAAATTTCCCTGTTAACTGACACTGGCTTCGAGTAAAAATGTCCAAGGAATGACAAGGTTTGTTTTTTTAAAACTATTTACTCCCTAATCCTGAAGAGGTCTGTTGATCTACAGCCACTAAAAAACCCTGAAGACAACAGCATTTGTCAGAACATTCCACTTGATTCAGGGTAGAAACTCTTAAAGGCTCTTAAATGAAACCCATTTTGGCTGTGCCTTGTGCCAGCTGATTCACAGGGCTGTCACACACTCCAGAGACAGAAGCTGTGGCTAAGCTGAGAGGTCCTAAGTTGCTCCATGGAGCGTCTCCCTGGAAGGATTCAGGTTTGAGGAAGAGGATTTGACAAGCACAGCAGGAGTCCTGCTGGATCCGTACTCTGAAGGGATGGTGGGGTCTCTCTGGCCACCAGCAGTGGTGGTGTGCTCACCAGCAGGTCCTGCAGACCCTGTTTTCATGCTGTAGGTGATCAGCTACTCCAGCAGTGCCCCGAGCATTTTGTCCAGACACACAAGACAGACATAAGGAGCTGGAGTATATCCAGACAAGAGAACAGAGCTGGGGAAGGGTCTGGAGCACCAGGAGGGGCTGAGGGAGCTGGGAAAGGGGCTCAGCGTGGAGGAAAGGAGTCTCAGGGGGGACTCTGTGGCTGTGCAAAAGTCCCTGACAGGAGGGGACAGCCAGGGGGGATTGAGCTCTGCTCCCAAGGAACAGGGACAGGAGGAGAGGAAATGGCCTCAAGTTACACCACGGGAGGTCGAGCTTGGATATTTGGAAAAATTTCTTCAGAAAGGGCTGTCCATCCCTGGAACAGGCTGCCCAAGGCAGTGGTGGAGTCCCCATCCCTGGAGGCATTCAAAAGCCATGTGGATGTGAGACTTGGGGACGTGGTTTAGTGGTGGCCTTGGCAGTGCTGGGAAAACCAGTTGGAAATCTGAGGGCTTCTCCAACTGAACTATTCAATGAATCTATGAAAAAGAGCTATGAAAAATCAGCTTTGGTAGTCTAATTGTTAAAAAAGACAAATGCAACTTCAAGTGACAGACACCTCACTGGAAAATGTTGAAAAACAGCAGCAAAAACATTTTCTAAAAAGATCACACAACTATTTTAATCATGCACTGCAACAGAAGCTCCCAGTATCCTTATCCCAAAAACATTACTCTGCATTATCCCTACAATAACACTGGACAGGATGCAACTTTCACCATATTTCACTCTTATCCAAGCTTAATTATTGAGTGGCTAATTTAACCACTGTCACTGATTAATTAGAATAAAAAAGCCAGAAGCAGAACTAGCATAATACAACAAAACAAGATTAAGCTCCACTGGAATCTACTCTGAATATTTTTTTAAAATTCCATGTCAACAGACATTTCCTTTTTGCAAATTGTTTGTGAGCAGTTGATGTCCCTATTAGAGAAACATCTGGAGTCTTTGTTTTTGAATATACTTCTCAACATTTGAGATTGACCTTTTCATTTCTAAACCAGGTTTCATCCAGATCTCTTTGGAGAAAAAAAAAAAACAACAAAACACAACCCATTGCTGGTTTCCAAGTACAGCAGCTGCCAGCTCACTGTACCTCAGAAAGCCACCAAAACCCCTGAACTACAGTTCAGGAGGCCTCCTGAACACTGCTGAATGTATCACAGAATCATGGAATGGTGGGTGGGAAGGGACCTTAAAGCCCATTCAGTGCCACCTCTTGCTGTGGGGAGGGACGCCTTCCACTATCCCAGGTTGCTCCAAGCCCCATCCAACCTGGCCTTGGACACTTCAGGGATCCAGGGGCAGCCACAGCTTCTCTGGGCACCCTGTGCTAGGGACTCCCCACCCTCCCAGCCAGGAATTCCTTCCCAATATCCCATCTAACCCTGCCCTCTGGCACTGGGAAGCAATTCCCCCTTGTCCTGATACACCATGCCTTTGTCCCAAGTCCCTCTCCAGCTCCTCTGAAACCCTTTTAGGCACTGAAAGAGGCTCTGAGCTCTCCCTGGAACCTTCTCTTCTCCAGGTGAGCACCCCCAGCTCTGCCAGCCTGGCTCCAGAGCAGAAGTGCTCAAGTCCACATCATCAAAGCCTGTTGAGCTTCTCATCCATCAGCAACCCAAGTCCTTCTCCTCCTCCTTGGGGCTGCTCTTGGAACCATTCTCTGCTTGGCCTCTACCTGTTCTTGGAATTGCCCCAGTCCATGTGCAAGACCTTGCACTTGGCCTTGCTGAACTCCACAAGGCTCACAGGGACCCCACCTCACAAGTTTGTCATGGAGAGTTCTTCCAGAATTCCCTTTCCAAAGCCATGACTCTCCACACTTCTCTCTATTAAGTACATCTCTTCTTCAAAACTCCTCGCACATTCAGCAAGTCTCCACTTTTTAAAAATTCCTTTCTTCTTCTCCTCACTAGACCATTCCCATCTTCCATCTGAATTTCCTGAACTTCCATAACACTCTGCTAACACTTTTCCCTCCAAAATCCCTTTATAATCATTTAATCACATCAACTCACAACTCTTCTACTGTGTCTCTTCCACAGCTCTCCTTTTGTGCATTCCTCCTTTCTCCCATCCCAGCCAGTCCTCCTAAGCTTTAGAGAAACTCAACTGGATGTGGCACGATGCCAGCAAGAAGGAAATGCATCCCATAAACACCAGACTGACCCACACTGGTTTGGGCAGGAAGAAAACACAGCAGTCCCTTTTTGACTAAACAGTACATAAATATAAGAATTTTACCTCTCCACAGCTCTGACAGAAAACAGAGTATCACGTTCAGTTTTGTTATTGCTCATTTTGTAAAGGATGTTCCAATCAGTAAGTACATGACACAGAGATTCGAGGGTTACAGGAAATGCCTGTGAGATTTTATTATTTTTTTTCAGCTCAGGCTATATGTTCTACTTGAACACAACCTCTAAAAAACCTTTGCTATGAAAAAAAAGAGAAAATATTAAATGTTATTTAATCTGGTAAGGAAGCTCACAAAATTAGCTGTGACAAGAAACTGAGAAATACAAATGAGAAACAAGATGTTTTTATACTGTTTTCAAATAGCTGAGGAAATCAGCTCCTGAATTTGTAAAAAAGTGGTGGGATCTCAAATTTTTCATACCTCCAAGAAGAGGCGGCATGAATTTTCCTCTGACAAAGAAGTAATGAACACAAAATACAATAACCACACAAAATTTGAAGATTTCAGTGTACACTGAAATAAATTACAGAAGCCAAAGGTCTTGGACATTTTTTGCCTGGTCCTATAACCCAAGCTACATTCATTTCAGGTTTCATACGCCAAATACTGAGCAAAACAGGCCAAGGAAAATGGTTCAAATGAATTCCACGAAAGCTCTCGGGGTTGTGTAGCCTTTGGCAGTAACCCCTGTCCTCTAGATTTCCATCTGGTAGTTGTCCATTTCTATTCATTTTTGACAGAAGCTAAAAAAATAAACAATTGGTTTCTGAAGCTCAAACACCAGGATCAGGTCTGAAATGTTCATTAGCAAGTTCTTGGAACCTTCCAGTGGGAGGTGTCCCTGCCCATGGCAGCAGGGCTGGAACTGGATGATCTTTAAGGTCCCTTCCAACCCAAAACATTCTGTGATTCTGTGATAAGTCTGATTGTTCAGCCACACAAAATTATTTAACTCGTGCTCTACTTGCTGAGCTGATTTTTTGCCCGATCATTTCTGCTTTTGAGAAATAAACCTTTCCCCTCCAGGAATCTTAGCACTTCAAAGCCACCTCCAGCTCATACTTTCCCCACGTAAGCATTTCAAAAGTCTTCAGAACTTGAAGGTCTGAACTTTGTGGCTCTCACCCTTATACTGCACTTCAACACAAGTACTTTAAGAGGGGCATTTTTGAGGGCAACCATTGATGTATTTTTAAAAATATGGATGTTTGCAGAACTTACCTCTTTCTCGGTATCCCTGGATATACAAGTCCACTGGTTTTCCTTCACACTGTATGCCCAGAAGTCAGCCAGATCCTGAGTTCCATCCCAGCCACCAAACAAATAAACAGTTTCTATTAAAAAAAAAAAAAGTTAATTTTATTTTAAAATGAGAATGTGTTTAAACAGGCTAATGCCTACAAAATATCTGTGACAAAGACAAACTATCAGAAGATAAATTTAAACTCTTTTTTTTACTTAGAACACCACTGCTCTTTGAATGGAACTAGTCATCAAGAAAAAAATGTGGTTTGGTTTAGTAATGGAAGATTTTAGGATTGATAGACAGCCAATTCTCAGAGTCATTTTCTATTTCCACATTTACATAAGAGGCAATCAAACCCACAGCCTTCTGATTAAAATTCCAGACAGACAAATGAACAATATTTAACATTTTGGATCCTGTGCATGTAGTCTATCAATGACATCTCAGCCTGTGCCCTGTTTGGTGCAGAATTTATACATCAACAAGATTTCAGTTAGGAGTAGCAAAGTTTTTCTGTTTAGTCCATCCCTTAGATAGAAAAATCAAGTACAAAATCCTCTTCAAGGGAAATGTCTTGCATAAACTAACTTACCTGATGCCACAAAAGCCCGTGAGTACAAGAGTCACAAATTTAAGTCAGTGTTTCAGGGCTGTCACCTCAAACCCACAACTGCTCTGTGTACAGCAAGTTCTAAGGCTTCCCAGACTCACTGATAAAGCCAGATGAAGCCTTTGAAAACGGGAAGCATTTAAGAAAGGAGTTTCTGTTCTGCCATGGAGAGATAACCAAACTGCTCCCATTATAGAAACAGCACTATCTGGTCTCAAATTCTAAAAATACTTCACTTTTAGACTGCATTAAAACAGAACACAAAGCCAAGCCCAAGAAGAACAAGCTCCTCAAGACTTGCAGAGCTTTGAAAAACTCCTTTAAAATCCACAAACCACTTCTATTATGGAGGTAATGGCCACTTTTTAATCCAACACCAATTAAACTGCGGAGTTAGAGTGCGATTATAAAATGGGACTAGTCCCTGACCCTTACCTACCATCAGGATAGTGGTCATCACCATGGAAAGGTTACCCTGGTTCATTAACTTTAATTACCCTTCCTCCTGGACTCAGGGCTCCCAGTGTTCCCTGCAAAGAGCAGGTCCCTTTGTGCACATAAATTCTCACAGCTCACAAAACCCACATTACCACAACAGCTTCATTGATAGCCGAGAAAAATAAAAGATTTGGCACCAGCTAAAAATCCTACTGGGGCCTTGCCAAAATGTCAGGCCTGCCTGGAAAGGCTTTGTTGGCTCACATGAAATTTAATAGCAAACCTGAATGACTCCGATGAAAACTCAGATTTTGGAAGTTACCTAACCCAGGCTGACAGAATTAAATTTGAGCACTGAGAGAGGAGCATGAGCACCCAGCTGGTGCTGAACATCCCCAGCGCAACACCCTGAGCACAACTGGACATGAACTCTGTGCCAGACCCATTTTTCATCATGAAGTAAAATTGTAGCTCACATGAAAGAAAGGCTCCATCACTATCTAGACCCAATGAAAATGATTTTTTGTTTATTGCCTTATTGCAGAAGTATATACATATCTTAGAGGAAGGTTCCATGTTTTAAAAGGAATATTTCTTAATGCATAAATGCATCTGTTGCTGGTAATGTCAAGTAAATAATTTTTTATAGTTCTCCTAAAATTTGTAATTGTTTTCCCATGGTACAAAGCAAAAAAATAGTTGTTTGGTTTGTGGGATTGTTGTTGTTTGGTTGGGGTTGGGTTTGATTGTTTTGGTTTGGTTGGGTTTGAGTTTTCTGGGGATTTTAAAGTTTTTTTTTAAGTGAAGCTTCACTCTATTTCCCAACCAGTATCACCGCTTGTACTCTAGCTATTAATTCAGATTTTATGGAAGGGGTTATTTTCACCCTGCATGCAGAGACCCAACCAGGACAGATATCAAAGGGCAATATTCAAAGAAGAGGACAGAGGCCACAAACCCCAGGCTGCAGCAGTGGGGCAGCTCAAGGGGAGCCCAGCAGTCTCACACCAATATAATTCTGGTAGCACTGGGGAAACTCAAGGAGGAAAGGATCCTCCCTCTGCATCCAAGCAATATGGAACACAGCAAATTGATGCTGCTTTATTAAAGCAAGTCTCTATTCAGCTTTAGGAGCAGAGCAGGAGAATTTTCAAACCTAGCTGCAAGGCAACAAGAAAAAAACATGAAAGCAATTATATTTACCCAAAGCTTTTACCAGCTACGTTTAGGAAGTCAAATTTCTCCTCCAGCATCCTCAGCTTATTTCCTCTACATTTTTTTCTGAATACAAATTCAACACTTTGAATTAAATATGTTCTGTGAGTATTTCTAAACTGCTTGCTCAGTCAAAAATTTTTCTGTAATGTCTGAGTTCTTTTCTTCCCTTACTCTCTAGATGATTAAAAGGTGCCAGAGAAGTCCTCAAATTAGAGGACATACATTCCCAACAATCCACATATTTCCTGTCAATCTCTCCTTAATTTCTATTTCTCAGAAAAGCAGCAAAGCAGCCTTTTCCAACCCATTAAATATGAAAATTCCTGGGGTGGTTTCAGTCCGGGTTCACCCGCATTCTCAGGGACAGTTCTCTAACTCCTGTTATCTCCATTTTCTCCATATGGTGAAATCCTTGGTGGTATTCTGCTACAGGAGGTCTTCTTCAATGAGTATATTCCAGTCCTGGTGACATATTTAACTACATTCTTTGGTCAAGTAGTATTTTCATGTCTCTGCTAGAACAGTTCTCCACGGAATATAAGAGAATTGTGGATCCACAGCACTTCTGCAAGGTGCATCAGACATCAAATTCCTCACAGGAGGGCTAACTTCAGCAGAGACCACATTGCCCAGGAATTATTCAGTTATACTTTGTCCAAGGATGGACATTTCAGATGAGATCCCTGCTGCAATGACTGATTAACTTCATTACAATTTTTTCCCCCTAATATCTAACAGGATTTTCCCTTCCTGTCCTGTATCCTCTCCCTCTGCTCCCCCCAGAATGAGCCTGGTTATCTCCATGCTCTCACCAGTAGCTGAAGACAGCTCTAGGATCCTCCCATGAACCCTTTTTCTACCAGATGAACAAAACTGGCTCCCTGAGCGTCTCCTCACACATCACACGCTCCAGCCCTGACCACCTTGGTCAGCTCAGTTTGACACAATCCTTATTGCCCCAGAGAGCCCAAACCAGGCACAGCACTCCAGATGTGCTCCTGAGTACCCAGAAGAGGAACATCACCCTCCCTTCTCCCTGCTGGCTGAGTTTGTGCGGGTACAGCCCAGCAGGAGAGGCGAGCCTTCAATGCCACGAGGACACGCTGCTGACGCACATTCCGCTTCCAGTGCCTTGCAAATCCTTCCATGCAGTCAGTCCCCAGCCTGTCCTCCTGCACAGCTGTCACATCCCAGGGGCAGGATCAGAACCTCACAATGCTCTCCTGCAGCCCCTCAGGGTCACCTGGACTCATGGCCCTGCTCCCCATTTCATCAGCCACTGCTCTCCCAGTCAGCTGCCAGCATAGACTTGCTGGGACTGTACTGGAGCATTACAGCTATGAGGGATTTCTCTTAGAAATAACAAACCAAACAAGGTGTAAGATCTCTCAGAAGCCTTCTACAAAAGGATGTCACTTCCCCAAGTAGCACCCACACCTTTAGTTATGTGCTAGCAGCGCTGCCCACTTTGTGAGGAGCATTTAAGAGCACAAATATAAAACCAGCCTTAAATCTTCTTGCAGTAACACACTCCTTGGTTTCTGAGCCACAGTTCAGCTGGATACAAGTTGGCTGAATACAAGGGGGTTTTTTTAAGGATAGGCATACAGTCTCAAATGTGAAAGCCCCATGAAGTTGAGTAACCTCCAGGATTCAGCAGCTGTTTGTGTTTCAGAGCTTAGAAGCCATCTGTGTTTTGTTTCTGAGATCCCTTCATCCTGTACACAAGTCTTGTCTTTAAATATCTTATGGATAGCAGTGTTTTCCTCAGGCAAAACAGCATCCTTCATGTCTGCTGCTCTCTCTTCATCTTTTTCATCTTTCCATGCTGCTTTTGAACGAGCCTTGTCATTTCTGCTGTGCTGCCCACGTATACAACGGGCACGCTGGGCCCAGTGCTCTGAATCTCCCTCTGTTCCCAACCTACAGATTTGTCCTCATTTATCTAATGGAAGGAAGCAAACAGAATTCCTTTGGACGAAAAGAAAAGCAAAATGATGTACAACCAAAATTACGCAGCAGCTGCACTTCAGTGAGAGAACAGAGGTACCACATCAATAAAGATCACTTCACTAACATTTTCCCTCAAAAAATTGTTTCACTTGCCAAAGAGAAGAGAAACGGAGACAGAAGAAAAATCATCCTGGTTGCTTTGCTGTTATTTTTAATGCAGGCTCATGGGAAAACTTCAACATTTAAGAAAGCCTGATATAACACCAAATATCTTTTTGTTTAACAGAATGATTTCTACATGGTCCCTATTTCTATTGTTACCAAAACAATTACATGGCTTTATGGACTGCACTGTCATTCACTGTCTGCCCTGTAAGAGCAGAAGAGATCAATTCCACCTTGCCTATGGAATTATAAACCACATCTCCAAAACACAAAACACGCGCTGTTCCTAAGTACCAACATTACTCCTTAAAACTTGCTTTTGGCAATTCACTTACCCATTCCCTCTTCCAGAACGAGCACTGGAATTTTGACACACGTGGCGTATCTGACCCATAAGGAGGCCAGGGAGGGCAGACTCAAAGAGCTGTTAGTAAGGAACCAGTGCCAGATGCTGACACCCTCATCCAAAACTGCATTAGGGTTCAATTCCCTGGGAACACAGTTCTGCACACGAGCCTGAGTGTTACTGCACCAGTATTTCCCCAGGGCCTACACAAACAGCTTCTCATGCCTGACATGCAGCACACAACACTGTGTTCTTGTGTACTTTTGGGGTTGTTTGGAGGACAATTTTGTTTTAATCTATGTACCTGGGTTGCAACTACTCAAATACTTCCCCTACCTTATAGAAAAGCAGAGAGAACTCTCCAGCCTCCCACACAGAGAGCTGCATGAAAAATGCACCTTGCAGGGAAAAGCAGGAACAACAGGAGCTTTCTGTTTTCATTTGCAGCCTAAAGCTTTAAAGTACTTAACAGTGGCTTCAGCTATAACTGTGAATTTCTCTTAGTTTATGTTTCTGCACATGTACTCCAATCCAGAGTCATTCCAGTCTCAGTGTTAATGTGATTAAAATGATGGAGGATATGTGGTAATCACTAACTTCCCATTTTTAATTTAACTTTTTTTTTTTTTATATAGGAGGATGTCAAGCTGCATTCTCAGTTCTGCATCCCACAAGGCCAACAGTTCTATTTCAAACTGCTCTAAGAGATTTCCAAAGCATCAGGAACACTGCACTTACTCAGTCAGCTGTGGCAGGTATTAAGAACAGGAGTACCAGATGGAAATGAGCTCCAGCACAAGTTACTGGCTGCCAGCAGTGATGTTAAGTTCTCCTTCAGTTACTTGCAGCCTACTCTAAGGGAAAGATACGCCATGCTAAAAGGCAGTTTAGACCAAGATAATCCATGTTCTACCCGAAACTGATAAACAAAGTCTCAGTGACTCCATGCACTAGCAACAACTTAAGATCTAGTTCAGCTACTCACCAACCCACATCCTCTACCTTGACACCAGCACCTGAATCCAGCAGGCTCAGTACTATTAAATTAGAATTATTTTTCTAGGCAATAATAAGTGGTTAAAATCTCTTTGAGGTTAATCAAAATACTGAACCATTTATAGTTCATTTATAGCTACAGCAGGTCTGGACATCAGAAATGAAAATTTGCTTCCAATACTTAACTCTACGTGATAGGAAACTTCAGAATCTCGTTGTAAGTATGATTTTGCTGTTTCACTTCTCTTCCAAAAGATTCAAGTTGAAGAAAATACTGATTTTTTAGAAAGGATCTAACTCCTCTAACAAGGAGTGCAAAGTGAGATGATTTTTCTTCAGTTGCCAAAGTCTTCTGAAAAAAACCCACTCAGCAAATGTGTGAGTAAGGAGGGAGGATGTCTTTGAAGGGAAGAGTACACCACTGCTCCCTTTTCCATTAGCACTGGATCTGTCCAAGGTTAGCCAGGGAGCTTTCCAGCTCCAGTCTGTAAAACACATCCTGACATAACTGGCTACATTCCCACCAGCTCATTAAACTCCACCTATATTCAAAAGGAAAACTCCAGCAATCAGCAATGGGAAACAGCCCCAAGAACTTCCCCTGGCCTGTCACGAGCTAAATTAAATGGCAAAACTGATCATCTCAAAAACATTTCAGCTTTTACAAGCCTCAGTGGACCTGGATGCAAAACTGAGAGCAACTTCCCAAACAGCTCACAGGGAAACTTTGGGAAGGTATCCCACCACCTGTAAATAGAGCTACAGCAAGAAAGGACCACCATGAGGGGGGGAGATCCAGGACTCCACCTCTGTGGGTACTGTCCAGCACTTTTGTGCAAGCAAAACAATTAAAATAAAATAAATAATTTGTATGTATTTGATACATTTATATTATAATGTATAATATACATATACACATTTATAATATAATGTATATAATATACTATACATATATTTCCACAAATAATAGAAATATTATTATATATGAAATAGACACATATATCCAAAGTATATATAATACATATAATATATATCAAGAAATATTTAAAAATATATGTATGAGTTTCACTGCCTTGTTAAAGCAGAGTGAAACTGAAGTCAAAGGCAGAAGTGACAAGCTTACTGGGACTTGAAAAAATCAAGAGCAATGGAAAGGAAGGCTCACACTACCATGGATATTTTATTTTCAGGAGGTGTGCAGGACTATCTTTTCCAAGTTGACAAGGATCATGTTTCTTCCACGCTCTTGTGAAACACTCACTACTAATTCCCGAGGCCACTAGGGAGCGTCCCCAGCCTCTGCATAGACAAACACCAGCAAATCTTCCAGCAGTGTTTTGTTCTAATCAATCTCAAACCTTTCCCACCAAATGAAAGAAGTTTACTCTCCTACACCAAATAACTTGAGTGCTTCCTCCAGTGCAGTAACTACTCTGAGCAAAAGCCAGAGGCTGCAGCTACTGCTGGATTTTTGCTTGTTCACCATGACTTAGCAAATTACTCTGGAAGGTCCTATCCTGTCACATGCTCTGTCCCCGTCCTGTGACCACAACAGATATGGTCATGGGCATTTTTTTGCCAGCTCCTTCAATGCCACCCTATATTCCTGTCCAATACCCACGCCCTGATTTTGTTTCTCCCTTCCCAAGAACAATCCTTTCACTCACGCAGCAAAGACTCGGGCAGATGCTTTCCTTATTTTAGTAAGGACTGACGTAGCACAGAAATCTGATTAAGTAACAGACAAAGATATAGAAAATTATGCAGAACAACAATCACTGGAACTGTTCCTGATACACCACCCCACTTTCTTTTCTCTGTATGTTCTCTGAAACAGAGGCTGAGCTATTCCTTAAACTGCTACAGGAAACATTTTTGCAAAAGATGTTTAAAGAATTACATTTAACAGGAGTTTCTAGCACACTCTGGAAATTAGAAGCCACTCCAACCAAAATACAAGGAATGTTTCAACACATCAGATCTATTGCTTGAGCACAGCCTGTAGCAGATAAGGGAAATTATTTTCCATAATTTCTCTTCTCTTGTTTGAACTCCTGCTCTAAGATGGCAGGAGGAACAAAAAATTAAAACCAATTGTTCTTGGTTTCTTAGTTAAGACAAGATAATGGCTAAGGCATAACACAGAATTATTAGGGAAGAAGGAGAAAGGCAGCTGGAATATAGACCCAGAGAGGAAGCAGAACATTTAATCCAACTATTAGAAAGTGCTATTTTTTTTCCTCAAAACCTGAAGCTAACACAGTGTCTGAAGAAAAACACATTTGCACATTAATCTGGAAAATAACTGATCAAATAATTTAGTTAAGAAATGTAACAACTACTCACCTGTCTGCACATCTATCACCATCTGATGGCCCCCTCTCATCCCTGGCCGACTGTCTTCCCCGTCACCTTCGGAAAAAGAGGGAAGGGAGAATTTTCCTTTTTAAGATTTTTAAACCAACAAAAGATACAACCTCAACATGCAAGCAGAGGAACTGAGTAACTCACCCTTCCTTAAACACTCACATGTCACTTTTTCCAGGTAGTATTTTTTATGCATTATCAAACTGTACAAAGTTTTATACTGAACTATCTGGTGACTGACAGTACAGAGAGCAGAAGTGAATACTGCAACTCTCAGTGCCTTGCAAAGGAGCTCCAATGTTCCTGACACACTCGGTGCACAGAAAAGAGCTCTGAGTCCTTGTAGCTCTCCAGAAGGGATGACACAGCCACCCTTTGGCTCCCCTTCCATCTCTCCACACCTGAGAGCTGCCTGAGGGCTGAGCTGTGAGAACAGATACCCAAATGACAGGGAAATGAACCCCTGGGATGGGAGCAGGAGGTGATGCAAACCACAGAACACAGCCAGCTTTGCACCAGCTATTCTCACATATAAGGGAATTCCAACTGTCCAATTAAAGCAGCTTTCCAACCACTTTATGTATCTTAAGCATTCAGGACAGGTGACACAGATAACCCCTCCCAAGGGGCTTGGGAACAGTGCTCCACACTTAGCAATTGTCACCTTGGATCCTACATTTGCTCTGTGACAGTGATTTTTGCACTCTACAGTTAAGGATGCTGCTACAAGTCTCCTCTCAAGGCAGACAGGAATGAAAAAGATTGTGCAGTTTGGATTTACTCTGTAATAGATCAGGACTTCAAGAGATCCACCTCATTTAAAATACTCCCTGTTGAGATAATGTATTTATTTGCCAATTCCTCAGTTTAAGTTGAAGTTACATCAATTCCATGTGCTAAATTCAGTAACACAGATAGCTGTTCTCATGTTTAACCAATATTCTGGGATTTGTTACTAAACTGATGATCTATCCTTAAAGTCACAAGTATTCCTACAGTGTTCCTTACTCAACCAGAGAGCAGGCTGAATTTCATTGAATTTGCAGACAAATGCAACTTTTTCAGAGAAGAAACCATTCCCTAGAACTCTCCTAGAGGAGACTTTCTTGCATCATTCTCTTGCTCCATATTCTCAAAGGAACAAGACAGAACTGGCAGTACATGAGTTCTATCTTAAGAAATGCTCTTACCTTTGGTGCTTTTGGGGATAATCTGCCCCCAGCGAGGTTTGTACTCTTGCTGACTGATATACTGATTGAACAAGCCATCTGCAAAACAAAAATTTTGCTGGATAAAACATTTATCCTTCCATTTTAGCGAAATCACTATTAATGTGGGTAACTTCAGCCTAACTCAATCCAGTATGCCACTCCAAAGCTTCCATTTTCAGTGAATTCTCTATTATGTGTCAGTTAGTTTGTTAAACTTTTGTTAGTTTGTTAAACTTTTGTTAGTTTGTTAATGAACTAAATGTGCAAGCACTAAAATAAAAAGAATACTTGCTACTAGATCAATCAGGAATTATCCAGTTTGCCTGCCAGGTCGTGCCAAGTGTCTATAAATCTCCAGTGTGGTGTATTTAATTAAGAATAGAATCCCTCCCCCTTATTTAAGCAAAAGGAAAGTTGCCAGTGCATATAAAATTCAACCATTTTAGTGCACGTTAAGTTAAAACTAGGTCAGACAGCATCTCTGGAGCTTCATCTGAGGAGGGAAGCAGAGCAGATTGTTTAAATGCGGTGATACGGGACAACCAAGCGCTGGATGAAAAACGAAACAAGAGTTTACATTCTCTTCAGAGAGTTAAGCAAGAAGAGCAACAGAGGAGGCGTTAGATCCTGGGCCAGATGTGCCAAGTGCAGCATTTCTGTGAGCAGCACCAGCTCCAGCACTTTATCCACACTGCCCTTGTGCACTCCACCTCTTCATCATCCAGAGGCCAGTTCCTAATCCTGTTCAGATGTTAGCAGTCCATCACATAAACACCAATTTTCTGTAAAGGAGACTTGTAACACCCACACTCCCTAGGACTGCTCTCCAGTCTGGGAAGGGCTTGGCACGTGGGGAACTTTTGTTCTTCAGTCTCCTCTGAAACACCTACCTTACCTTCTGAAGCACAACAAACCATGAGAGCACCCGAGTACTGTTTGCCTGGCTACATCCCACCCATCACCCACCATCTCAACACACAAGCTCTTCCTGACAAATGTTTCTGCTCTATTAATGCACTACCTGAAAAAAAACCAATAGGAATTCAATAGATGATGAACGCCTCTGCTTATTTATACAAAAGCCCTTTGTAGGTATATAGGCAAAAAAGAATGATCCTTACTGAACGCATCACTATTTATTTAGAAAAAGGTAAAAAATCTTTGTTAAGCACGACACAAGGCTCAGAGAAAATTTTCAAGTGTTTCCTGGCATCCTGTAGTTTGTCGTGACTGAAATCCAGGTTTTAATTAAAACCCAAGCCAGCAAGTATTTCCTGGGAGAAGATGAAAGCTCTATTTAGAGACCATCTAACAGGAAAACAAGGGCACTCAAGAGCTCCTGAAAAGTGATGAGTTTGGTCTGAAAATATAAAACTTCCATAAACTCAGCTGTGCAAGTTTTTCCAAATAAATACTCTGAAAACAGGGCAGATTTTACTTTCACCTCAGCGCTGAAACCAGCAGCACTCTCCCCCCCCACATTAGGTAATCGAGGAAAGCCAGAAGTTTGCTCAACGTATGTAGAAGGAAAAGTGGTTTATTTTGGGTTTAATAGCAGGGTTCTTAACTCCCACTTCTTCAGCATTTATGAAGCTGGGACAACACACTAGAGGCTTGAAGCTTGAGATCTCATAAATTGTGATTCAGAAAAGCCAGGCCTAATAGAACAAATGCATGTGCTGTAAGAAATCCCACAGTGACTCAGCCACAAACCCAGACAGAAATGCAGCTTTTTGGTTATCGTTACAGCCTTGGGTCTGCAAGACAGAAACCAAAACTGTATTTATCCCTATGGCAGCCAATATATAATTGGACATAAATAGTTCAAAAGGATGAATTACACCACATAGGATCTGAAAGGGTGATTTAACCTCTCTCCCATGCTCTACACCCACAGGCTGCACTTGTCAAGATATGACACTTCTCCCCTACTGTGCTTTCGGCCTCTTTTAATAATGCTTCTCGTCTTCCATGGGACATCGGTTTGGAAATACTCCAGCTTGCTTCCCAGAAATGTTTCCTTCTGCTGGAATCAGTTCCACATTCACTCTACTTGCACTGCAAACCAGCAGGAGCTTGTTTTGGAAGCTGAATCACCACCTGTCTGACACCACCAGGGAAAAAAAAGGAGGATTTCTAGGTGGATCCTGTACCCGACGCCAGACCTACGCCAGCGCACTCCTTATGTTCCTTGTCAGGAGAGCACTGCTGACCAAAAGGTCTCCAAAGCTCCTGTGAGGAGCTGAGGCTCACATCTAGGCCTGCTCAGGTCTGTCAGCTGTTCCCAATGAAACAGGAGTTTAAAATAAATTTCAAGACTCTTGTCAAAAAAAAACCTGAGTGCAAGTTTTTAAATGAAGTGTTTTCTTTTGCTCCGGAGACCTCTCACTTCAATGTCCATGTTTACTAAAATTACAGCCAAAAAAACAACTTTGTACTATTTTCAAGCCCTTTGCAGTAAGCCATGACGCATTTTGGATCTAACAACACGAAGTTCACCGTGATTAAAGCTTGGTGAATTCTGCCTCCCTGATAACCCAAGTCTTTATTTTGCCAGCCAACTGTAGGTTACCCAAAACGATTACGACAAATGTTGCGGACAAAAATATTTAACTTGCTGAAGCCAATCAGGAGCAAGTTGTATACAGTTTGGGGGTTTTTAGGCAACACATATCTCCAGGTAGGGTTGCTGAAATCTGTTCCTTTCACTGCCAGTGGCTCAAAAACCTTCAGAGTGACAATTAGCCCATAATTTCTGGGTGCTGGGGTTGAGGTTTTAGATTTTTCTCAAACCAAAGAAAAGTAGCCAAAATACTTAAACAGTTTGAGGCTTTTTGAGTCACGAACTACCTTCTAAGAAAACCTGAAGGAGAGAAAGGTTCTACCAGATAAAAATTCAGCCACTACTTGACAATTTCCTCGAGACTTGGGAGAAACAAGGAAACATACAATTTTTTTCCAGCCTCAGAGCTGTAATATTTTCTTGCACTTTGTTCTTCATAAAAATGAAACAAGGCTTGCTCTCAAATCCATGTAAGTTATCCTTCTTCTACACAAAACCCAACCATTTACTTCCCAGAGGCTTTGGATCCCTAGCCAGCCTCTCCCTTCCATATATCCCAGTACACAGAACAGCTTTCTCAGAACTAAATCCAGACAATATTAAATGGAAAAATTCAGGAATACGTGTGTGTCTAGAGTTTCCAAGGGAATACAATTGTTCCTGTGAATCATGAGTTCTGGGAGACACTGGAGCCTGCAGGCTGCGCATCACAACTTCTTGTTTGTCGCACAGGACTGACTTGTCACCAGATAAACACACGTCACATACTGACACGAGCAGTGCCAGAAGGAACACCTCAGTCCCTGGAATATTAATGGGAAACAAGCAGTTCTTCCACCCATTCCAAGCAGCTCTCCATGTCTACAGGAGCTGCGAGCAGTTCAACCAAGCAATTTGCACTCCACATACTCTCTCTGCAGGAATATTAAGCAGATATTTTTCCTTCAATAATATAGGCCCGAAAGCTATAGGAATGGATCCAAATGTGAAGCATTTGAACCTAGTCTGTGAACCAGCTGAGATTTAGGGAACCTTTTCTTTTTGAGACGAAGTCAGGCAGCTGCCAGAGTTTCCATTTGCCTATTTTCTAAGTGTAACGCACAAGTCAAAAGAATCAGTGGGAAAAGTGTGGCTGCCTGCCACCAAGCTCTCAAAAGAAATCATCTGGTGATGTGAGGTGGAAGACAGCGTTCATCATTAGCAATGCAAAAGAACAAGAGTTAGCTCTGCCAGCACTAATTCTTGACCACCTACTCTTTTTCTACATGACTAAGCCTATGGAAATAGCCCGCGAGAGATGCAGAGCGTTGCACTTTGTCAATACCCACCACTGCAAATATCAGCCTCTACAGAAGACATTTTAGGCTGAACTGAGTGTGCAGTATCTCTGTCAACCTCGCTGCACTTCTGTTTGTGCCTTTAAGGCACTGAACTCCCAGATCAGCAAGCGGTCAGGAGTTCACATATTCATGCCCAGTCTGCAATAGAACAGTTGCTCTTTGAACGATTTCAGGGATAATTTAAGGATCTGTATGTCTCAATTAACTCTACACTTCAGCTACACTACACAGGCACAGGACTAAAGTTAATCCTCTTTTATTTGGAAAAACAACACATCAGACAGGAGTTCAGTGGTAAGAACACCCACACCTTAGAGACTAAGCAGCAAGATACTGAGACTTCACAACAGAGCTGCTAGGAAAGTAAAATGATAAAAAAATCATCACAGAATGGCCTGAGTTGGAAGGGACCTCAATAATAATTTAGTTCTAACACCCATGCCGTGGACAGGGGCACCTTTCAGCAGACCACGCTGCTCAGAAAATGCTGGGGAGCTTGACAGATGCAGAACAGAGTAAGGACAGTAACTGTGGAAGATCACAGGGAGCAGGAGTAGAAATACTGTAGGAGAACATGCTGAAGGCTGAAAACCTCTATTATCCTACCAAGAAGAATCCAGCTGTTAAGCACCATTAATATTCAGCACCTTGACTGCCACAACTTGAGACAAATTGTTCCAGCTGCAGTGTTGAGGGGTTTTGTGGCTATCAGAAGAGGTTTGTCCTGCCCTCTCCCCCACCCCAGCCTGATCAGCTCCCTGTCTGGGTTGGCCATGTGGCAGCACGAGCACCAGTGCCAGGGACACAGTGTCCTGAGCAAGGGCAGGATTGACCCAGTTAGTGAAAACCCGCAGTCGTGTCAGCTTAAAGCAAATATGGGATGCAGCCTCGGTGTCTCGGGATAGATAGCACTTCTCTCCAAAGAGTGCTGGGAGGCGATAGAGCTTTAAATGGGTACATTTAAAGCTGAAGACAGCATAAAGAATGGGAGGAGGATGGGGGAAGGAAGGTTAATGTATTCCAAGACAAGCAAAATCATTAAGGATGACCAACAGAGCGACGGGAGATGCACACACTGACATTTAACTTCAGCTAGCCAGGTGCTGGATTAAAATGAAGCAAAATAAACATCCCCGTGCATATTTTTCTGTCCCTCAGAAGCAGTGACAAAACCTAATGATGCTCTTGAAGACTCTCCTGCTAAATTATCCACCGTCTGTTACTACCAAGACTTGCTTCTTATACTTGCTGGAACAAAAAAAGGCTGATAAAACAAGCTGCAGCATATTCCTTCAGCTCACCTAAGCGATGCCGAGCTCCTCAGCCTCCAAAAAGGGACGTGATTACAAAAACCAGGGAAGGAGGATTATCCACATCAAATCTGACAAGAAACAAGTGTCTGTCAGACAGAACTATACAAGACCTACAGTTTCCTACCAGGCCAGTCCTTTGCCAGTATTTGCACACCTGGAAAAGCAGAGCACTGCTGACAGCAGCCCCACTCCCAGCAAACATTAAGTAGTAAAAGAAATTAAGATATAAGAGCTCAAAACATGAGGCTACAAATATTCACTTCATTAGCGCCCAAGAAAAAATTCCATTTTTGAGAGTACTTTTTCAGCACATTCTAAGACTTTGAGTGAAATTCCATTCAAGAAATCATTTCCACTCCAGCCTCCAATGAAGTGGAAAGAGGACAGCCTCCAGGCACTGAGATTAAGCTACGGCCAAGGCAGCAGAGCGAGGCAATGATAAAATCATCACCATCAGCACACAGCACTCCTCTGGCTGCTGCAGCATCATGGTGGGCTCATCAGCTCCCTCCAGGCACTCGTGTCTTTGAGACACAGACAGAAACAGCTCCCTGCTGCTTTTCCAGCCTGCAATCCTCCCTTGCCCTTATAATTCAGGAGGAAGCTGCCAGTTGCAAAATGCCCCTGCATTGCAGGAAGCTGTTCACACTGCCAGCCCAGTCAACACTCCACTGTCTTGGGAGGGTGAGGATGAACATGGCAATTCTCAGTCTCAACACTTGTAGCTGCTCATGGAGCTCAGCACAGGGCAGGTCTCCACTGCTCTGTCTGAAGACAAACCTTGAGCCAAAGCCATAGAAAACTACTTACTGCAGTTCTGGAAGACCTGTTGCAATAAGCTCCTTAAAATTGTGCTCAGTTGTACAGCTTAGTCACAAAAAGATGGTGGGTTTTCATGGAAGACAACCCTTGATTTCCAAGCTATCGTTTCTATCACATTCTGAGAACCACTTACAGCTTGTTTGTGGTACAAACCACACTGATGGGAGTCAAGCAGGTACACCGGCATCTTTCCAAAGGTATTACAAAATGACTGATTAGCCCAGAATTAAAGAATAACATCTCTGGTGCCAGCTATCCATGAAATTGGTTCACTAAGTCCCTAACTCTACTGGCATCAGACACAAAGTTTTCCTCTTACACCAGTACAAGTCTCCCATGATGAGTGACTGCACAAAGTCAAAAAGCTCTACACCCACAGCCAAGAGCACCTCTGTTTTAACAGACTGCAATCCAAAACTGCTGCACAGGTCTTGAGAGTCACTTCAGTGCAACAGCCCCACTCTTTCTGTGTCCCATTCAATCAAGAGAAAGTACATCTCCCTCCTTTTAGGAGCTGAGAGCTGTTTATACACTGTGTTTTTAAGTAGAAAGCTTTCAAGTAAAAAATTAATAGCAGTTCCAATGAAACTGACTGCCCGGCCAAGGTCCCACTCTGCAAAGGAAAACAAGCTCTGCCTCCAGTCACTGACTTCCATACAACTGTCCAAGGATTATCCTCCCCATAAGCAAAGAGAGCATCCTCATCCAAACACAGCTGAAAACTTCTGCCTGAACACCAACTCAGTGGTGAGCTCCAACCAGAAACCACGATCCAGATCACCACTGAGAACTCCAGTCTTCTGCTTCCTTGCTCACCATTCCAGTGACTTTCCTGACAGTTTAAGCCCACCCTCGGCTTGCCAACACTTAACATGAAGAACTTCTCTTAACCCACTCAAGTGCACCGCCTTGTCATCTCTGGGGAAGATTACTCCAAAAGTAGCAGTGATAAGAGATTTCATGAATTTTTATCCTTCATCACACACACACTCACAAGTCCAAAAGCTGACAGCACACTAGAAATGAAACAACACACAGACCTGCCAACTCTACTACTAAGCACACTAACATTCAAAAGAAGGTAATATTTCAATGCACTTTTTTTCAAACTAATGAATCACTTCCTCGGATTCTCTTACCATTCACAGCTTTTTCTATCAGTTCTTCACAAGCATCGAAGTCCCCCTTCAACACCAGCTTGTCATGCAGGTCTGTCAACATGGGGTGCTCCAGAGCAATCTTGGTTTTCTTCTGCAGCGACTCGAAAGCCTCGGTGTAGTTGTGCTGCCGAAAATGCTTTAGGCAAAGGCGAATGGCTTCCTGTTCACGGTACTACTGGAACACAAGAAAACCTCTGAGACATGGAGATTATTCCTCTGACCAGCACTGCTGGCAACTACCTGTGAACCTGCCCAGAGACAGGATCTCTTATCCACGCTGCACAAACGGCTCGCGAGCTCATGGAGGAAGGCTGTGTGAGAGACATTACAAGCTGCGCAGGCATTTACTTTCCAACAGTACAGAAATTATACAATTTGGTATAATCCAATTTAATAAGCATACAAGAAAGAGAGTGCATGGTGTCCCAGATCTCTGGGGTGACCATTATTTCCCCCCCATCTGCTTGGCCCTGCTGTTTGAGGCCTACACGAAGCACAGAGCAGGAAAAAGCCTTCGCTATCAGCGTTACATAATTTGATTGTATGACTCTTACATAACAAAATAATTTAGAAGAGTAAGTAGGTCACAGCTTTTCTAGAAGCAGAAGGGAAAAAAAAAAAGCTGTGAGAATGGGAATACTTGCAATGACCAGCACTTCTGCCACGGAAAGGCAGAAGGCTGACCCCAAATCTTGCGGGTTCATGAGGGTTTGGGATCAGCAGCACCAAGGATTTCTGTGCACACCGAAGTTTTAACTTCTAAATATTCTCCTGCATCTTGAAGCAGAACCTCTGCTTTCACACCACGGATGGAGCCACAGCTGCCCATCTCCCACTCAGCTGTGGGAAGGGGTGAGAAAGGTGAAAGAAAACCCACGCTGGGTCAAACATCCTGGCACAGAACACAAGGGAGTAGTAAACTCTGAGTAAGAGCTACAATTTTCAAAGCTGCTAACAAGACGTGTAAGAAACACAGATTTTTAGGTTGATAAGTAGCAGAAACACTTATTTAAAATAGACTTTTCAATCCTAAATTCTAAGGCATTAAAGAAAAAAAAAAATCTCCATTTCCATCTTTAACACACAACTACTGTGGTAAAAAGCAAATGTAACTTTAAGCATCTATAAGACTGATTAAATTACAGACAAAAGATTTTACTCCTAAATGGACACTACTGCTAAAAGTGAAGTTTATAGTATTTAAATGAACAGAATCTTTCTGAAAACCTGGAACTAATACTGACATTTGACAAAATTTAATGCTCTTGAAAGAATGGCTCGATAGCAAGAATCTCAAACTGAAGCGCTAAAAAGAAACACGGCCATGTGCTGTATTTTTAGTTCTTAATCCATCAGTATTTCACAGCTGCAAATAGCCAGAACTATGCATTTTTAGAAAACCAGCTCCCAGCCCACATAAAGGCCAAGGACATGTACCGATAAGAATGCAAGGCTGCAGCAAAGAATTATTAAAGCTAAAACAGTTTTACAGCACAACTGGCAAAAAACAACTTTTTTTTCTTTCCAAGAGATGCCTAAGACACTCTCTAAGCAAATCTTCACTTGCATGAGTCAAGGCCAAAACCAAATTGGATTTTTTTGTTCAAAGGGATAGCAAGCAAAAGGAGAGCTGCACAGCAGTAACTACCAGCTTCTGCATTTTTAGATCCTCCAGTTTAGAAATCAGAAAAAATGCAGACTTGAGACAGAGAGTACCTCCTCCCTTTCACTGAGGCTCTCATGACTGACAGACCTGCCTTAGATCGCCAGGAATTACTTGGATGGAGTCTGGCCACTTGATGCAATATAAAAGTTTATATTCAAGTGACACCATAGTAGTACTTCAGAATTTAAATGTAAAGACCTGCTTTAAGCAAAAAATGTGTATAAAAAGTATATAAAAGGCTCCTTTTTAAATGCTGTCATACAGGTTTAAAGAGATGACAACCCAAATAATAGCTTTGATCTGAAGCTGTAAATAATTCCTATGGTTAAAAACGTAACAAGAGCATGAGACTAAGACATCAACCCTGTCAAATACACTCGCAGAATTAAAAATACTTATGAGCTCATTATCAGAAGTGGTACCCAGTGATAAAGTACCCCTTCTTAGGTGCTTTTTACCCTCCTCAGGAAAAAGGGGTAAGGCTGTTTGGAGGCAGTAGGCTGAGCTGGACAGCAAGGAGAAAGCCCTGAGGAATGTTTCAGTCCTTATCCATTATCCCCAGCTCCACTCCCCACAGGAGAGGGAGGTTTTGTTGGCACAAAACAAAAAGGAAGGGCAACATGGTATAGAACTTTCATCTGATGTCGCAGGCAGTGAAGAATTATTACACTTCAAAGACTCTGAGATTTCCAAAAACACATGTGAAAATATTCCCACCATCTCAAAGAACTGGAAGAAACAGGTCAACCTTTCTGCCTTTCCCTAAATATGGGACAGCACATCCCCCTCTGTGGATCCAGCAACAGTGGCCTCTCTGTCAGAGAGGAGAACATCAGTGACACATGCACTCATCACCAAAAACTTGGCAGTGGATCCTAGCAGAGCTCACACCACCGTGACTCAGTCTCTACACTGCTTCTTTGGGGCTCCAAGCTTTAGGAGAACAATGCTGGCACCCCCTTAAGAAGCTGTCCCTACACACAATGCTGACCAGGAAAAGCGCCGATTCCATGGGATAAGATGGAACAAAACAGATGCAGACATCATCACTGCATGACTCCTGACCAAAAAAAGAAAATAAAAATCAGAGCTTCCTGCTTGCAGCAACTGGTCCAAACTGCCAGACACACCACCACGTGCAGAGCCAGCAAAAGGAAAACCACCAGCAGCTTCTGTCAACTGGACTTTTCAGAACTGGACATCCATCATCAGCTGACTCATGACCACAACACCACTTGGACCATAAAGTAGCTCCAGACAACTTCCACTGTACTGGTTATTTAAATCCTCCACAAAGCAGCTCATGATGTTGGTGTAAATGGGAATGAGCCAGACACCACAGTCACACACAGCTTCTTCACCACTCTGGCAGCACCATGAACTAATCACACACAATCTCCATCCCCTTCTAAGTTCTTCCTTCTGGAAGCAGAGATACACTGCTCCACTACTCAGTCCTACTCAGATGGGAAGGATGTCTTCTCTGCAACACAATATGAGTTTCATTAATTGTTCCAGAGGATCCAAAGCACAAAATGTACCAATAAAATGTGTTCTGCTTGTCAGTGTGCACTTCCCTCCCACAGGAGAAGCATCTCTAATACTCAATTAAATACAACTTATAAAGTTTGGAACCCCTTGAACTTTCTGTCTATGACAGATGTCTATGACAAATGACATAAATAATCTCATCTCATAGTCCAGTGGCACCAGCCCAACTCTGTTCCAGGATATTCAGCAAAAAGACGGTAAGAGGGAAATATCTGAAGTGCAAGACACCAACAAGTATTCTCTTTAAAAAAATGTAATTTTTACACCCTGTAACAAAAGGTGCATCTGTAACCCAGAAGGTTACAGACTCCATGGACTGGAATTAAAAGAATCGGAAGCAAGAGGAGGGAGAAACAGAATCTGGTTTTGTTAAGATTCATTTCCCTTCCAATACAAATACTAATACTTTACTAATACTGTCCCCTCTGGCTCAGTGTTCCCTTCTTGTGATGTCTACCTGTCAGGTTTTTTGGGTGATGCTGGTGGTTATGGCGTTTCTTGGGGCTGTTTTGTTGGTTTTTCAAAGAGAACAAACAGATAAAATTCAGAAAGTTTCCCTTAGGGTCAAAGTCAGCCACGTGTTTCCAGCTATGCATGTTTGCTGTTTTAATAGCTGATGTTCAAGGAAAGAAAAGGTCACATCACTCCAGTATGAGAAGTTTCACAAGATTCTGAGACTGGGAATCTTCAAACAAACAGGCATCTAAAATGCAGGCCTACCTTGCTGTACCAGTTGAGGCACGGCTGGACCACATCTGGATCATCAATGCCATTTAGTTCAACATACCAGATACTAAAATTGAAGCTAGGTCCCCACGATAAGAGTGGAACTGGAGAAGAAAGGAAAAGGAGAAAAACTATGCATAAACATCAAACAATCACTACTGCAACAGAATGATTTTAAAGTTTACACAAAATTCAGTGTTTCTGACTTAAGTTCTAGCTCATTTAACTTAGCTTAGGAAAATTACCAAATACATCATGTTCAAAACTGTCACTTAAAGCAACCTGTGCTGAGCAACATTAACACAGCAGATCATTACAAAGCAGAAGCTTGCTTTAAGCAGAAGAGCAAAAACACTATCATTAAAAACAGCTCCAAGAGGCAACAAGCTTTGACAAGGATGGGAATCACGAGCATACTAGCGACAGTATTTGCTCCTCATAGTACATTTATTTCCCCATTTGTCAGCAACAATTATTTTCCCTAATGGTGAAGACAAGAAGCTTGGGTATTTTAAATTTTACAAAATTAGTAACATCTGCAAGTTGTGGAGGAGCGAGGGAGGGATAACTGTCAGTTTCTAACTTAAAAACTCTATTTTTTTAAAAGCTTTATTTAATCTGTGCAGGTTTTTTGCTGATACTATTTTATCTGACTATTGGAACAAATGGACTTGAAATACTAAAAGACCCATGAAACACAGTACAGCCTCTCACCTATGGCTTCTCTACCACTCTGGGTTAATATCTGTGGCCTTGCACTGATTTTGTGGTTACTCTGCAGGTTAAGACCTGGTTCTGCTTTTTGAAGCAACACCAACCCCCAGAAAACTTGTGTGTGAACTCTGACTCATTAAAACTGCAGTGAAATTGAGTGGTTTCATTTCACATACTTTTGTTTCCTTTTTATTTGACTGTAACTGATAAACAGGAAAAGACAGTATTGAAGTTGAATGAGCAGTTACCAGCAACAGCAAGGAGTCCACCACCTCCTCCCTTCCACTATTTTTGCTACTAAGAAATTGCCTGCTGAAACAGGCACCATGAAATACCACTGAGATTAACCTGCTGAACTCCTGTTTTTCTGACCTACTCCTTGAGGAAATAAAAACCCCAAACTCATCATAAAGCTGCTCCTGAGCTCTTACAGGTTCTTAAGTATATATACCTCAAACAAGCTACATCTATGATTGTCTGCAATGTGTTTGGGCACAAGGCACATGTTCAAACACACGATTTTCTAAGTTTTAGAGGGTGTATTTACAAACTTATTGCTAATGATGCACAGTAACTTCTGGGAACAAGAAGTCAAGATCCAAAGAGACTTTGTATATGACACTTAAATTATTTTAATATCCCTAAGAAGGTACTTTCTATTTTACAGCTCTCAAAACATCTTTTCAAACAGGTTTTTTTCAACTAGGTTATTAAGCACACCGCATGATGTTTTCAGAGCAGCTCCTTGTAGGTGCATGTTTGTGGAGAGAAGACAAAAGTGAGGTGGCCAGAAAAACCAAGAGTCACCTGTCTCCCATCCACATTCCATATTCTCTGCCCAGGAAATTTCCCTCTTGCTGACTTTCATCCCCTGCACAAGCTGAGTGCTGCCAATACGGTAACTTAACACCATAGAACATTGCTGCTAAATTCAAGTTGGGTCCCGGATATCCTACCCATTACTGCAGCAGTCTGGCAAAATACCACATCTAAGGGTAGCACCTTTGGTCTGTCCTCAGACCTGAACACACAGACCAGACCAAACTGAGGTTAAATTTGGTATTTGGTCAGCTATAAACATCAAAGTCTATCCAACAGCTCACTGAACTGAAACGCTCAACTAAACCACAGACCACCTCAAATGGGCCAAGACCATACATTTCCTGATGGTAAACCTGAGGCCAACTTCCAAACTGAAGTATTACCACCTTCTCTATCCACCTCTATTTCTTTTCAGCAATTCTCCTCAAAACTTCTATGAGCTTATCTCAGAAAACAAATTAACAATTCACTCTCCTCTCTTTGATGCTAACTACAACCCCTAAGAAGTTATTGGGATGTAGACAAGAATCTGGGGCTGCTCCCACCACAAGAAAAAGCAAAACCATCAAATTACTGACATTTGTCCTCCCCACAGTTAACTCAGAGCTTCCAACAGCCTTTTCTACCAAAAGGAAAAAACAATACACCCAAAATGGTGAATTTTAACAGCAAGATTTTCATGGTGCAATCATCTTTTCTAAGGAAAGAACATTAAGGTGTACAGGGAAGGGAAGGAAAACACTTCTCCAGAACTTCACAGGCAGAGAAAACTGAACTCCATAGGAGCAGGAAAAGAAACAAAGCTGAAGGTTGAGACTGAAATGCAACTTCTGTTCCAGTTAGGCAAGTTGAAGTGTTCTGCTGTATCATCTCCACATTTTTGAACTTCTTTCCTGACTCCCAGGAGACCCCTCTCACCCCTTCTTCTACCCTCTCTTTTTTGAGGCCTCCATAGGAGTGCTCAGATCTTCAGAAAAATCTCCTTTTAGAGCACCCACAATCTGACTTATACCTGGAAAGAGAAGGCACTTAGTGCAGCACGGAAGCACTTTTTTCTGCACACCTTTGAGATGGAAATGTACTACAATCAAAGATGCTGCAGGCCTAAAGATATATAATTCCTCCACTTTTTATCAAAAAAACACCTCACTATGTTTTTCCTGCAGGCACCACAGCAATCCATCCTGAAAGGTGCAACTGTTCAGAACAGCTGAATTGTCACTCCACAGTGAGAGGAGCTCAGCAGAGGAAAAATATTTAAAAAAAAAAAATCAATATTCTTCTGAGAAACAGAAGGTATTTGAATCACTTACATACTTCTTAATCCATACATGGATAATTTTAGGGGATACTTCTCAATAATAGCTATGCCTAGACAAGGACTGCAACTCTACAGTAGAGAAGCTAATAGCAAAGGCATTAAACACAGTAATTTTAAATACCTCTCTCAAGCGAATTTCTTTGTCACTCATCTACAGGCAGACATACAAACAGGTACACTTGCAAAATTAAGAAAATATCCATTAAAAAAGTATCCCTCATTTTTCCTCCATCAAAGCCTAAAAATCTTGAAGCCTAGTTACCAAATCCCATGCTAGTAACAAACTGCAATGAGAATTACACTCAGAATTTTTCAAGTTCCTTCATGGCAATCAGTCTACACCTTCTGCTTTCAAGGACACAGCACAGAAAAATCTCTGCTTGGGGGAACCATGAGAACAGAGCCAGAAACAAAGCTCACAGACATGAAAAAGATTATTCTTCGATATTTTGTCCTGATAAATACCTTCTTCTCTCTCTCCAGCTCTTTAATGAGGTACTACATGAAATGTAAAAATTACCTGTCAAGTAAGTTAAAAAGCCTGCACAACTGGGCATTTCAGTGCTCAGGAACTGCAGCTGAAGTAATTACACTAACAGAAGTGCAAGGCTTTTCTTGACCAAAGGAGAGAGGTTATTCATTCTGCGTTTTATGAGCCTGAAAACTCCTCTGCTATGTGAGCAATGGAGGCTGGAGCAGGAACTTTCCTCTCTCCCAGATCTGCCCATGGTTTCTCCTGCCCCATGCCCCCATATACACCCCACTGCTGTGTTGCTGACAGTGTTGTTGTAGGTCCCTGTGCTGATCTGTGGAATCCTAAAGCCCATTCCTGATGCAAGTGCTGTGAACCCCCAAACCTCACTGATAGCAGGATTTCGCCGTGTCAGTCCCCGAGAGTCCAAAAGGGCAGATTTTGGCCTTGTTTCCTGGCACTGTTACAAGGAACACAGCATGGTGCTTGAAATTTTGAGTTACTTTGGCTAGCAGCTTGGAAATTTTAACAAACTCAAAACATTTTCAAGCTGTGAATCTGAAAAATAACAGAATTTCGTAACAGTGTTTTGCAGTTGTTTCACAGTAAAAAATGCTCTCACAACTTCATCAACAAAATGACACCAGCCATCAACCAGAGGCTTTCATGGGTTTAGGTGAAAAGACCATTTCCAGTTCTGTCTCAGCACAGGAATTTCTTCATGAAAGACAGCTTCAGGAAATGAAAAGCTACAAATAAAGGAAAACTCATCTCAAACCATAACCAGTGGAAGTGGCAGCTCAATGCAAACCTAATATTAATGTAGATAATAATGTTTATTCATGGAATGGTTTGGGTTGCAAGGCAACTGAAAGAGCACCCAACTTCACCCTCCTGATGTGGGCAAGGACACCTTCTGCTATCCCAGGTTGCTCCAAGCCCTTTCCAACCTGGCCTTGGACACTTCCAGGGATGCACGGGCAGCCACAGCTTCTCTGGGCACCCTGTGCCAGGGCCTCTCCACCCTCACAATCAGGAATTTCCTTATAATATCTAATCTAAATCTACCCTCCTTCAGATAAGGGCGTTTCCTCTTGTCCTATCACTACATGCCCTTGAGAAAAGTGCTACATGAAGATCCCATCCCAAGAAAACAAAGTACTGATGTAATTTCAGAGGAAAACGTCCTGGTAATGGGAATTAATCAGCATTTCACTTTCATAACAAGTATCAACTCACAGCTACACTTCATTTCATCAGAATACACTTTCCTGGAATACAATTTACACATCCAAAGAAGCAGCCAGAAATCTTTCCATTGGCCCCTTTAGCCCTCCAGGAACTACTTGCTAGTTTTTAGCCACTGAAAAATAACATTTTCCAAAAACTTAATGTTGGAAGCTTCCGAATAAAAATAAAAAATAAAGCTTTTAAAAATTCATTTAACTTCCCTGATGTAGTCAACCTTTAACTTGATTCCTCTGCTACTCTTGAGGTTTCCTAAAGCCAAGCCCTACAGTTGCTTCCAAAAGTAGCAGCCAGAAACCAACCCAGTGAACAACCAAATCCTCTGCTTCTCTAAGAACAGGAAACCCCACAAACGATTACTGGATTCCCAGCCTGAAGCTTTCAGTTCCTGACAAACATGAGGAGATTCAGAAAGAACACAGTGGGCAAAGGGCTCAGAGGGGAGCCCCTGCACAGCCACTATCATCAGAGTCTTGGCAAAGGAATTACCCAACACATCAAAACACTCCTAAATTCATGTAAATTAGCCAACAGGATCTCATCTCATTTTTCAGCAACTACCTCCTTGCTCTATTTTTAACCTTAAACAGCTAGTTTAATCCCAGTCATTCTTGTACTATCTCAGTAGGTAGGAAGGGAAAGATAAATTTACTGAGCAAGCTGAAAGGCTCCAAATCCTTGGATTAAATCCAACAACTGTAAGGCTCTTGTTCTCTCGGGCCTGCAGAAAGCAAGGAAGAGATATCCTTACCTGCTCCCACCACACATCCCAGCACCTAGCCTTGGGGAGCACCCCCTCAACCCCTGCCCCAGGCAAAGCTGACATCAGGGGTACAACCCCTCCTGCCCCTGGGTGTCATCCTTAGCCAGAGGTGAGTGAGACACTGTGATAAGAGCAGCAGGGAGAGAACAAGGGAGGCTTCTGCTGTCGCTTTATGTGTTGCAACCGTGTTTGAGAACAAAACTTTTCAAGCTTTTGCAGACTTAAGGGCTGTCAATATGGAAACTTTTACTTGTATTTAGCTTAGTTATTTATTTAAAGCTCTATACAGCAATTCATAGGAGGACAGTAAGCAGCTTCTCCCACAATTAGTTGACTCAACAGCTGTATTTCTGAAAATTGCTCTATTTTGCTTTCAGTCCCCAGGATCTAAATTATGAAGCTACTATTTCTTATTAACAGGACTTCACTGTCTTCCAATCTAACCAGCCTAAAAGATGATGAAATGGAACAGCTATTGTGGATACTGTGCCTGAGTACAATGAAGTCACAAGTGCCAAGACAGGCACAAGTATCAGAAGAGATTATTTTCTACTCAGAATGCTGAAAAAATGCATTTACCTATCTTAATGAATCGACAGGGGAACATCTGTTCATCAATTTTATGCTTCAAGGTGAATGTTTCTTTGTTATAATCATTCTTTAAGCCACTGTGGGAAAAAATAAATAAGGTTACTAAATCTTACCTTATATTTAAGGACTAGCTAATAAATGCAATCTAGGTCACGCCTGAAACACGCAGCTTGTTTCACACCACTCTGAATCATCAGTACACGTGCTGGACCGAGGCCTGGGCTGCTCTCCACCTACCTGTGCCTCCCTGGGAGGCAGCACTGGGATTTTGGGAGGGAATTGGCTTTGGATCAGTGCTGCTCCTCTGCACCTGGAACCCTGAGACTTCAGTTCCTGATCTGCTGAACTGCACTCTTCCATTCTCAAGAGGGAGATGGATCAGATCTCAAAATTATCACCCTGACAAAGTGCTTTGTGATTCATTTATGGGCATTGCTTTCTAAAAATATCAAATATTTAGTATAATTTATCAGAAATCTTAGGTACATTTTTACTGAAAATGCAAGTACAGGTCCCAAAATGAGGATTTTTCATTAAACCTCAGCAGAAGTGAAACAATATTAAATGCCAATAATTACTGTGATAATAAAAGACTTTTCCCCCCACAATTGTAACAGCAATAAAGGTAAATTTCAAGACAGATCTATCTAAAGAGGGCAAAAGTGTGGGAAGGGCTGTGAATAGATTCTATATGGTCTTGAATGATACCCACAACATACAATTTCCCATGTTTGTCTGTGGCTACTCTGCTGATGTACCCCTAGAGATGGACTTCTCTTCTGTAGGCCCCCCAAAATACACCGGTTCTTACTACTTTTTTCTCTTGTACTCCTGGATTTTAACTCTCTTTTCCCTTTCTGAAACAGCACACTCCTTAAAAGGCCCTCACAAATTTACATTAGCAACTACTCAGAAGTTCTAGATAACCTGAACAGCCAAAAGGCTCTTTTTTTAGTCCCTATCAGTACAACTCTACGAAATCCAACTAAACGAAGGAAAATGCAGGTTTCCATTTGCCTGTTTGATTTATTTACCCATCTGGAAAAGGCAGATCAGCTGACTAGTTCAGATCCTTAAGGCTACAATAAGGGTTTTGACATGGGGGGGTTACTTGGGCTTTTAAAAGTTACTTCAAAGTCCCCTACACCTGGGGAATAATTTTTTCCACGCCTCAAGCACATGGAAGGAAGGAACTGCAATCCAGCAACGCTGCACCCAGCACTCAGCTCTTCCAAATCCCCAAGAGCTCGCTCTCCACAAACCCTCTGTGGTTAGAGCAGGATAAGGAAGGCTCCTGGAGCGAGTGTTGGGATTGCTGCTCTCTGACCTGATCACAAACACGAGGGCAGCCAATGGCAGGGTCACAACCACAGCTCTGCCCCACTGCTGGCCATGTGTCTGCTGGGGAACCAAGGGGGAAGTAAATTTTGGTCCAGCCCTTATGATTCCCAGAGCTGATGGAATCATGTCTTACCTGGATAAGAGGTCTGTCATATTCTCCTCATTCATCCCACCAAAAACTTTAAACTTCTTTAAATTGCAGACATGTGTTTTTTCATATTTGCCAAATGTGATGCTCTGGACTATGGCAGGTCTTTCCAGCTTCAGAATCAAATACTGTGGAAGAGAAAACAGTGAGTTTGAATATTAAAGCCAAGGCTGCAAAACACACTAAGGGAAAAGCATTACAGCCTCCAAATACTCAGTTTACAAAGCCAGAGAATGAAAGTGAAGTTGAAACCTCCCCATTATGGTATTTTTTCATTGGTCCTGAAATTAAGGAAAGGTTTTTTAAAAGTACTATTTTAAAATAAGTGTACCTAGGAAGAAGATTTGGTTGAACTACTTATGCCAAGCAATTTTATTCAGAGCTCACATACATTCCTTTAAGTTGGACTCAAGACTTCCTCAAATCTGGCAAATAGGATCAAACTACAGAGAGTGAAGATTCAAACGCCCACTACAGCTTGAAATGAAACCTAAACTGAATACACAATTAGATAAATACAGTATGTTCCACATGCTAAGAGAACATCAAATTACTTTTCCTCTCTGGGCTGATGCTGTTCAACCACTGAACACAAAGTTTGGTGTGTGGCAAACACAGGAACCAACTGCTTATTAACCATCCCAAATAAAACTGAGCCACTTAATTACAGAAAATGAGCTTTACATGGAAAATGATGAAAATGTTCTCCCTTGTGAACAACTGCTTTCCTCTCACACTGGGTGGACACAATCTGTGTATGAGTAGTCAGATTATACTCAGGCCACAGCTACCAGCTTCACCAGCACTGCTGGAGGAAGAGATCTGTTCCCATGGAAAAGCAGGAGCAGGGAAGCACTTGCATCATTCATCAGGGACCACCAAGTACCTTCCCCTACCAAACAGCTCTTGGGGGAGTCTGGAGACACCTTGTTTTTTCTCACCTTGCAGAATACATCAACTTTTATATCTGAAAATGTGTTTCACTCTTTTTCCCTGATTTCTCAGAAACAAGCAGTGCACCACAGAGGCAAAGCACAGAATGACAATTACTCATCGTGCTGGATTTTGTTACAAAGCCCTGTCATCAGGACTCCAGCACAAGCAGATCAGCACGTTGTAGGACACCTCCCACTGCAGGCTCTGCTGGTGGCCCTGTCCTCCAAGCAGCAGCACTGCCAAGCCAGGCTTGACGCCTGAGTTTTGGTCTTTCATCAGCATCAAGCAGAGATATTTGCATCCGTGTGGCTGCTTTCTGTAGATCCTGAGTAGTACCTCCTATGTTAAACATCTTAGCAGAGTATCTACTATCTTAGACAACTCCATCAGCAGGGCAATCTTACCCTGGCAAGGTAACTTTTGAGAGAGCAGCAGAAAAAACTTGCTCATCCATTTAGTTCTCAGTCTTTTTTTTTTTTTTTTCTCAGCCCTATAAAGCAAATAATTCTCAATCTAGGTGCAGTACTGATATTGCTCTGGAGAGCACCAGGACAAAGGTTTGACCTCAGTGGCCGGTTCCTACTACACTTACAAAAAGCTTAGATTCAGAGAAATACTTGTACACAGAGCAGTTACAGATGAGGATGCAGACTGGACAGGTACTAATAGCAGACTTACTGTCAAACATGCTTCCAGCATCTCAATTTTTTTCAAAATTAAGAAAATAAACCAGTAGCAGCAACTGTGAGGGTACAACAGAAGACCACTTTAGTGCTTTTCCAAATACTTTTAAAGAAAAATTTCCTCTTTTGTGAAGAACACCATCCATCTAAATGTCAGAATCCACTGTTCATGCAGCAGCAAGCCACGCTGTTGTCTCAAAGTACTTCCCAAACTTCAGGAAAAAAACCCACTAAAATTCTACAGAGAAAATTGATTTTCTAAAGAGAAGAAAGGAAAGGATGAGCAAAAGAACGGTCCTTTAATGAGCAAGGCAGCACTTGATACATGGCACAGCCTGCTGCCAAAATTCCCATAAAGAACAGACAGTACACAATGTCTAAGAACTCCTCCTACACCATCATATCTGCTGCAGATTTCTCCCAAAGCTGGAAAAGTGTAGCCAACACTACCAGCAATTGCAATTCTTAAGCCTGCTGGAATCCCAAACCTAATGCCTGGGCCATGAACACATACTTTCTCAAGCACCACACAAGATTTGCAAAAACTTGGCACAAACGTCATCCTGCATTATTCAATTCTTACCCTAAATTAAAGGAGAGAAAACCAGGACTGCAGTTAAATCCTTTATGCCTGGAAGGGAGAAAGGCACAGCAATTACTCCACATGGCCAGCAGTGATTTCTTAACCCTACAGATAGGGAGGGAACTCTGCCACCCTCCTTCCCACTTCCACACATCCCACCACCTGCTGAGTCATGCAGACCCTACAGAAAATAGAAGCATAAAAGCTAAACTCCACATTTCTTTGTGAATTATCTGCTGATTGACATGGAAACAAAGGACAGATCTGCTATAAAACCCTGTACCTAGACATATGTTTTTCTGGTTTATAATGCATATACACACATATCAAACTGAAAGATTTTCACACTAAAAGATACATCTAGGTTAGCTATTAAGAATAAATTCTTTACTGTGAGGGTGATGAGACCCTGTGAATTCCCAATCGCAGGAAGGTCCAAGGCCAGATTGGACAGGACTTGGAGCAACTTGGTCTGGTGGAAGATGTCCCTGCCCATGGCAGGGGGCTTGGAATGAGTTAAGGACCCTTCTAACACAAACTATTCTGTAATTCAATGATATATGTAAAAATACAGAGATGTACTTTTTGGGTTTCTATACAAACACACACTGCTGCCACTGTGTGGGTACCAGCTATGAACCTCACTGATCTTGAAAAAACACACTGCCTCAAGAGCTGCTAACAGCTGGCTGCATGGATATTTCTGGACTGCTACCAGGATTTTAGCTGTGACAGACTATTCTCTGGAGCTCTAAAAGATGTGACAGAAGTGTCTGTAGGATCAAGTGATTTATTCAACCTGGAGAGAGAAAAAGTCTATGAGATTTCAGGCAAATACATCAAGATATTTGACACTTTTTCCATTTTATTGCTGTGAGCAACATCAGTACACTTAATGTCCACGTATTCATGCAGTATTCCAAAAATTATAACTGAAGTGTTTGTCCATTAGAACGTGGCACACAGACACTAACTGGCATGACTGAGCAAAAACCTCAGCCCAGTTGTTAGGCCTCAAATCACAACACTAACAAAAAAGATGCTATGAAGAACTAGAGGAGGAAAACGTCTGGCTTCTGATTCAACACATCTGTAAGTAAATATGCACAAAGAGCAGAGTAAGTCACATATGGCACTTTAGCACCCCAACAGCTGCTTACAGTGCACCCCTAAAAAAAAGCAAGTCCAGCCTTGTCACACTTGGCGCTGCAGCAAATTGCAAACTTTTTCGAAGCTCTGGTCTGTGCTACTATTTAATGACAACCATATGCAAGCTGCTGCATCACACTGAGTGTAAATTTTATTAATGTACTTCAAATTAATTCCTGATACAATCTACACAGCAGCATGGAAATCAGAGGAAAACTGGTCTTCAGATGCAAAACTGAAATCAGTTGTTTGGACAATGCCACTAACTTTATGCATATGATCTTCAACTGTTCAAAATTCACAATTCCACAAGACTGGAATCAGCTGCCCAGGGAGCAGGTGACAGAGTCACCATTCCTGAAGGTGTCTAAGAAACAAGTGAATGTGGCATCTAACTGGACCCTGGCACTGAGAAGGTGGTGATTGGTAAAGGGCTGGACTCTAACCTCAGAGGTCTATTCCAACCTAATTGATTCTGTGACCAAATATGCTGAACTAGATTCCAAACTGCAATACACAAGTTGCCTGTACAATTGGAGTCATACAATCTTCTACCAATTTCTTTCTCTTTAACCAGTTCTGCTCAAGCATTTTTGATTAGGGGAACAGTGAAACTTGCATTGCATGTAAAAATAAAACCCACAAAATAACAAAATAACAAGGGATCCCCTTGTTCACAACACAAACATCTCGACTGCTCTTGCAATTAAGCTGGTGGCTAAATAAAAATCTATGCTCTTGTTTTACATGTTATTAATCAAGCCACTCATGGGAATTAAGTGCTCTGCACAGTCTTCCACATTAGACCATCACTGGAATCATCAGAATGAGCCTTTCTGACAGGGCCATGGTCTTCAGCATCACCAGCCTCATTGCTTCACACTTCCAATGTAAGCCGAGAACAGCAATAAAAATAGAACCATCCGCACTCTCCTGCCTGAATAGGCTACTACATAACAGGTTTGTTATTAAATATACAATTTCTGGGTCATCTATTTCAAGACTGAAGAAAGATATCTAGTTTAATAAACAGAAAAACAGCTGTCAGATGTATTTCCTTTCACTGGCACTCATTCATAACCAACTGGTGGCTTTCATGGCCACGAGAATTATTTAACTCTACCATACCCATGAAGCCCTAAATAAAGTCACGTGGCAGCATTTCAAGTGCTTGCACTTCCACTTTCATTTTCTTTCTCCTTTTAAAAAGGTTTGCTATGGACTTTAGCACATTTACTGCATTTTCATTGCGTTTCTGAACACATCTTGATGGTTTTGCCTATGTTCCTCTGATTCGTGCTCTGAAAGAAAAGGTGCCTGAAAAGATTTTTTTTTCAGTCAATGAGGGAAGGGAATAAACCAATGTTTAGGGACTCACTCATATTTTTACCCTTAAGCCAGCACAGCATCATCACCTCAGCAGGGAATTGCTAAAGCCTGGCATTAAGGTGAGGCGCTGAGACAAACACGAGCGATCAGGGCTGCAGAGCTTATTAAAATATCTCACATTGAGCACGTTGGACATCAGTTCTTGTGCTGTGCCTAAGCCCTGGTTTCAGCTAATAAAGCTGGAACAAGCAGAGCTTTATTTCCCTGACTTTTAGTTCGCATCCTGTCCAGGCCATTATGGCCACCCACACACTTCAGCAAGTGCGTCACCGCACGAGTGACCAGTTTTTAAATGGAGAGCTGCCAACACAACACCTATGAAATGCTTTCCAGCTTTATTTCCTATAGGATCCATGATGTTTATTCCAGAGATTAAAAGTCATTTGTATAAATCAACATTTTTTGGAACATGAACTATTCAACTTGATTTTTTCCCAAATTCTCTCCTCACCACACTTATAATTCAGTCATCCACTGTTTCAACTGAAGTTCTCCAAGCTAAGATTCTGCTGCAACAACTTCAGCCACTGGGAAAAGAACAAGGAAGCAGAACACCTATATAAATGATTTTCCTGCATTTAATTTGGCAGTCTTTCAATGGACAAGGTGCAAGAACTATTTCGATCAAAATGCAACCAAATCTGGAGTTCTTTCATCTGTCAAATATGAGACAACACAAATGGGAACTGCTTCTATATGCACAGAAATAACAAAAACTGCACTCTTTGCACACAGGACTCTTCTGCAGATTTTAATTCCCCACTTCCTCTTTGCAGCTGATTTTTCAACAGAGAAATTAAACCATAAAAAATGCTTTACATGAATAATTAAACACTCAGATTAGAAACATGAGAATTAGCTGCAGTATATAGCACTTTATATAGCATAAAGGCACTGCAAATACATCATCTCTCTCACTCAGTGCTCAGGATTGCGCTTGCTGAACACATGAGCAACTACACAGTACTTTATATTCTCATTATTAGATACAAAGATTCAAGCAAGAGAATATAGCAACGTGGTCTTTTCCAGCCTGGCAGCTAGGTTTTCTGTTAGTTTTGTCTTTAAGTAAGAGACTAAAACTCCAATACTGTCTTGCCAATCTCAGTTGCCACATGAGGGCTTTTTCTTGCAAGCCAGGCCTTAATTCTGGATACCTAATATATGTCTTGATATGTGACACAAAGGTAGACAATGCCAGTGTTAATTCATCTCTCTCCTACCAAGAAGTTTGGGTTAAATGCCTTGCTTAGCATGCAGAGCAGTGCCCAACTCTCCAGGTTTGGAGTCAAGTCATTCTGCAATAGTATCTCCATTCAGGTCACGACTTGTACACATGAATTTTTTGGAAGACATCTCTTTAACAAGCTCATGTGGTTTGTACAGAAGTCTGCCACTCTAATTAATCCCTGCTTAATCTACATGTCTGAGTATAACCTGCATCACTTCTTGTCAGCCTTAAGTATAAACTGGGAATATTTTAAAGCATCCACTTACAGGAGGCTCATTTCCATTCCAGAATCAGATTTTTAAAAGGACTGAATATTCAGGACGGCTCAGAAAATGCAAAAGTGAATTTAAGCAACAAATAAGAGCACATCTCAGATGAAAAACCCAGCCCAAAGACACACCATGAACCAACTTTGCCTTGGGAACAAAAGCACCCCAAGAAAAACATGTGCTTCCTGCATAAAAGAAAGTAAAGGATGGGACAGGCTGGGATACAATCCATGGTCAATACTCATTACTCTGCAATCCATAGTTCCTAGATAGACTAAACTGCTTCAGGCTATGGATTTAAATCCTACATTGTTTATCAAAATATAAATAAGTAAAATAATCAAATTCAAAGAGCAGTAGATGCACAGAGGCATCAAGAGAATCAATATCAGTCTTCACAATTAAGTTTAAGGAATACAAAGGATACCTTTCCTTCTCCTCTAAAAAACCCAAAAACCTAATTTTACAGACACAATGACACAAGAGGATTGATCAGAAAAACCAGGTGAAAGCTCTTCAGTGGCAGCAGATGACCTGCTTCTCTAGGGAGCCACCAGTGAAGACCCTAGACCTTTAACACAACTCCAAGACAAAGCAGCAAGATTTACCTGGAGAAAGACCCTGTGAGATTTCACTCATTAGGAATACTTGGATTAAATAAGTAGATAAGCAGAACTTTGCAGGAGAGGGACATTGTGCAAGTCACTCTGCTGTGTACCAATGCTATAAACAAAGAATTGAAAACAAGTAGCGTAAGAGACATAGAAGCTGATCAAACATGCCAGAGTAGTAAGGTACAGATCTAACACAGAGAGAAGGATAACATTCACTGGAGAAAAAAAAAAGTGGAAAAGAATATTCTGGATAATCTAACAACCTTAATAATAGTGAGAAAGCAAATGAGATGCTAAAATCAATACAAATCTTATTTTAATAAGGTGCTTAACCAGCAGAAGAGGTGACACTTGTGTCTCTAACCAGAGGCCACATTTCTGAACGTGCTATAAGGAGAAACAAATACCAGCTCCTTAGATCTGGGATTCAAGGCCAAGAACCTACAACAGCCTCCAGTAGTGCTGACAAAGGGGGACCTGCACGCCTCATTAGCAGCTTAATCTCACCATAAGGTTTGATTATTTCCAGCACGACCATGACTGCCAAGGAGGAAACCTGAAACTTCCCCCGCAATGAAGCACTTCTAGAAGGATCATAAATTGCTAGAAATGTAAATATCTCATGTACCAACAACCTGCATTTTACTCAGAGAAGGAAGCCTATAAATATGTTGATGTCAATAGCAGCAGCCTACATTTAAAATAAAAACACAGCATACATTACATAGAGCAGCACAGATTCAGGAGCTTACCTGGGGAGGATAATTGCTTTCTGAAGACCATCTTGAGGACTGATCATTTGGTCTATCCACCAAGATATTCCTAAGAAACAAGAAGCCAAAAGTAATTTAAGTAACAGCTGCATATTTTACATCTCCAATAAACTGTTGTATATTCAGATCACTAGCATTCTCATGCAACTACCTAAATCATTAGGTACAGACTCAGGTTCTCCTCCTTTTTTTCTAAAGATTTTCTAAATTGCTATTTTACAGGACCCATCAAAATACGCCTTCAAGCTTTGTGGTTGTGAAACAGAGCTCCAAGTTGCGAAATAAAAAAAAAATTCAAATTGTGACATAAATGTAAAACAGATGAATTTACATAGGCTTAAGTCTGTAATGAAGTGGAAAAAAATAGGCTTATACACCTCAGTAGGGTAAGAACTTTTCAGTATGGTTAAAATCATGAGCAGTTGGAGGGTTAGTGAGCCAAAAACTCTCCTTTAGTAGGTAGGCAATACTGGAAGGGAGAGAAAGGGCTGCTAACCCACTTAAGCTTTCCTGGAGCATAGAAAGATGACCACCGGAGTCGTGCCAAATTTTAATAAGTATTTTTCACGAGCTACAAGCCCAGAACAACACACAAAAAAGTAGAAGTTCAACTCTTCAACCAGCAAAATTGAGTTGCTTTCTTCACTTTGAAACAGTACAATACTTAGGTATTTAATAAATTCAAAATAGTTATTTTTTGGCTAAAATGAAAAGAGATTCATCATGACAGTTACATGACACATCTGCTTTCTCTTCTATAACCATGCAATAAAGCTCACGTCCCAGATTAAACTAAAAAAACCAACCTAAAAATCCCTAAAATATATATAATTATTGGCAAGGTGACAATGCACCACCTGCTGGACAGGGCTTGTGAGCTCCACCACTTCCAACAAACGAACTCGTCAGCCCATAAAACTTATGTAAAAAGAAGGAAACAGTCATCAAAAGGCTTCTGCCATCTCCATCTGCTGTGTAGGAGGAAAAGAACACGAGCATCTGGATTACTACAAAGGGCTGGAGGAAAAAGCACTCCAATGAAAGCTCCAAAGGGAAAGAGGTTAAGTCAGAGGTTGAGCATTACCAGACAGAAATCAGCTGGCTCTTTCCACACTGGGCAGCCCAAAATCACCATAGTAGCAACAGTATCCAGGCAGTCCCATGATGGGACAAGGGACACAGCCAGGAGCCACGCCAGGGTGGCCTCTTAAATCTGAACACTTTTGAGAGCCGGCCAAGTGGCTGTGTCTTTCCACAGGCTTGGAGAACACCTCCGGATTTTCACACAGTGCCGGAATAAAACTGAAGTTCCCCCTCGCTTTAGCTGATTCCCATCATAGCATGGCATTTATTAAACAGCGATGCCAGCACCGAGCCAGGTCTGTGGCTGCTTTATTCACCCATCCCCACTTGGGAAAATGCAATGGAACAGCACTGCCCTCTGCTCCAACCCCATCAAACATAAAAACATGGCTCTACATAATTCAACATCCAGCTAACAACATCATCTGCACTGCAAAGAGGCTCAATTACAAGAGAAAACCTGGTCCTGGCTTTAATAACAACTGGGACAAAACAAACCAATCTAAGCAAAGAGAAGAATTTGGGAACTGAGACACAAATTTCTAATAAAAGCTGCCAGTCTGAAAGCTAAGTCCCCATTAGAAACCACAAGACACTTGCTTTCGAGAAGAATCACCTGCAGTCTCCTGTACCATGCCACAGGCAAGAGCATGGTATTTGATAAATTCTTGATAGCTCTTAGCATCTGGAGAGAAAAAAAATGCTAAACTTAAAGATATGTATCTTATATTAAATACTTTAGGGATACAAAGGCAGATAAAACTAAATAATGCTGTATGGCTTTTCTCCTTTATGGAAATTTATCCTAATCCTGGAACACAAGAAGACAAGTTACCCTACGGAATAAATTTTATTTATGATTCCATTACATTTGTTTAAACATTAGACAATAAACTCTTCATACACTGAGCAACACTCGCAGGAATTGGCACTGCTGCACAGTCAGATAATGCCCAGCTGGAAAGAGGCATTTTGTACCTGGGACAGATCCCAAATATCATATTTTTAGAAGCAGACTTGTTTGCTTCTCCAGGTCAAAGATCAGTTTTGCCACAACCAAGGAAGATCTCAATCACTACAGCTAGACAAGATAAAAACCCTTCCACAGAGAAAAGGGACAGGCAGCTCACACAAAATAAAGGCTAAAAAGAAATGTGAAAGATAAAGATAGCAGTATCAATGGAGTTAGAATGTTTAAAATACATGGGTTATTAATTTATTAAGATTAAACAAACATTGAAGACAGAAGTCCATGTGTACAAAGCCATACCATAACAGTTTAGGAAAATTTGTGGACTTGGAGGAATTCAAGCACTGCAGCAGCCCTGAGGCAATAAGAAACAAACAAATGCATGTCCTAACAGCAGATGCTTTTTCCATGTAAAGCCCTTTTTCTGGACATCACAAAACTCCTACACAGTACCCGGAGGGAGGCTTTGCAGATATGACACCTAGATTAAAATCTGAGAAACTTTAGAAGTGAAAATTCCATTAACACAACGACTTTCCATGTAATTTTCACAAGACATTAAAAAAGGTATTTGTAAGCCCTCGAGCTACCACAAGTACCAACGGTTTTACGCAAGCTTTTCCTGTGAAAAAAGCAACCCATTAAACGTGGTTTGAGATAACTTCTCATCATCAGCTGTGGGTACAAGATCAAGTCTAGCACGAAACTACAACACTGCCAAAGGGACCACCCCACCCACTCACAAAGGATCCTCCCCCTCCCTGCACCAGCAGCTATAATAAAGATTTGCATAAATAACTTCTTTCGTCAGATCAGTTCTCCAGCTCAGCTCATACCATAACCAGCACAAACTGGGACTAAAAGATGAGCAAGCAGCTGGATTGGGACCAGGGGTTCCACTGGAGTGAACTCCCAATCCCCCCCCTTCCCACTGGAAAGAAACAACTAAAAAAATGAGATGACATGATATTGGAACTCTGGATGCTGAGAATTTTAGACCCTCTGATTTTATAATTTTAGCACCTCTGCTATGAAAAGCAAAGCAGAAGGGGCCATTTTATTAACATCACAAGCAATTCCAGAGGCAGCCCTGGTGCTGCCTTATTTCCTAACCTGGCTGCCTGCACAGCTCCCAGGGGCTAAGCCTCACTGTAAGCATTCCCATCACTAAAGAGTGGATGGTTCCACGCAGAAAGCTCTTGGCAGAGCACGGTGCAAGTTTCTTTTCATTACCCAGGCAGACACTGGTCTCACAACTGCTGGAAGGAGATAATTTTTCCTTTTACCAACCCAGAAACTGTCATATCCTTTGTGCCAACTGTTGGCTGGTCTCTGCTGGAATGACAGAGATGTCCCCATGCCTGGGAACTTCTCTGTGCAAAGAGCTCTGTGGGTTCAGGCACGACAATCACTAAGGGAGAGTTTTCCTTTGCTCCAGTGGGAAAGGGAGAAATAAGATGACTTTGCAGAATATGCTGCAAATTATGTTTAAGGCTGCTATAATTTGCATCTAACCTAAATATTTTCATGGAGCTGCTATTAGGGAAATCCATGAGTTTAGGAACAAGTCTTTAAGAATAAACAAATCCCAAACACTCTCTTTGCTTGGCACACTCATATGGCTCTTCAGAGAGCAGCTGTGCAGGAAAGGGCACAGGCTTTACTAAGAGGACTTGGAACTCAGACTCTCTTCTTCTAAACCACAGAGCTACCATGCCATTACACTGCAAAAAGGCACTTGGAGTGCTAGGAAAACACAGACTGGCTAGAAATGGACTAAATACTTGCTCCAGGTTTGTCCACGTGATGATTCTTTCAGTTTTTCCTACAACCATCCCAAAAGAGATTGGGAAGAATACAGCAACTGGAATACACAGACTAGAATTTCCACTAAGTCCACTGTAAGACGTGGTGGACCAAACTATTCCAAACATGCAGAACCCTCACAGCAGCCAGCAGAAAGCATCCACGGAGATAATCCTGCCCAGCCTAGACACTGGAATGTACACACAGCCTTAACCAAGAAAAACAGGGGCAAAAAAAACCTACTTACCACCTAAAAATCCAGTGGATCTGGAAAGAAATACACAAAGAAATACAGTTGTTGTTTTTTTCTCCTGCAACTCCCATAACTCACTACAAGCCATGCTGGTTTTGAACCACCTGGCTGCAATGTTTGAAAATCTGCGTGAACCTATAGCTGCCCCCTAAAGCAAGTCCAAAAACACTTTTAAGGTTCTGCTACAGTTTCTCTCCTTCTCGCTGGAAAAGTTCTCTGCTCAGAGTGGCAGAAGGATGTAAAGACATGGAAATTCCTTGATTGAAAAACAGTAAAAATGGGAAGTTATTATGCAGATCCATTGAGGAAAAAAGTGGAGGGTTTTGGGGTTGCTTTTTTACAATACAGAACTTCTTAACCTCTTGCATAGCAAAACTAAATTTGAGTAGAACAATGCACAGGAGCACAGTTTTAAATATTATAATGTCACGAGATTGGCCAACTTTCTGCTCAATTCTGCTTCATGTGCTCACACTGTCATCCAGTATATTATAAACCTATTTCTATAAAAAATAGCTTAGTAAATACAGCATTACAAAAATAAACTGAAGAATTTAGAAATCTTACAGAAATTTATTCATCAGATCACAGCTGACTATACTGGTCAACAAATCTGGGATTACTTAGCTCTGGCCTAGAAACAACCCAGTTAAAATCACGTTCTCAATTTTTTCAATGGAAAGTTTGCTTTTGTTTTTTAAGGTGCCTATCATCACTGCCAGACCAACCTAACTTCTTCTCAAATGCTAAATGACTCTGTCACAGACATTTCCAGTAAGAGAAGATAAGAAGTATTTTTTATCACTCCCCCATCTAGTTAAGACTTTAAAACAAGACTTTTTTGATTCATCAGTTCTTCCTGGAGACACGACAGGAATTAAATAGTAACAATAGTGACTAAAACTGCAGCAGTGTAGTGCGGGAAGTTACAGAATCA